CTGAAATTTCACTCTCAACTTTGAAGTCATGCTTCAGTATTAGAAATGTTAAAACACAGATTGATGCTGAAGTGGTTTTGTAGATTAATTTCCCCACTGGCTATTTATTCATTTTCCCTGTCATTCAGGAATCCGACACTGAGAAAGAAAAGGATCTGTTGTTCAAAAACCAGTTATTACAAGATGAGATTGCTATGCTAAGACTAGAACTTGATCAAGTAAGACTTAGGCACCAGGAAGAAGAAGGAAAATACTTAGAGGAAAATGAGACCTTGAAAGAGAAAAATGAAGATCTGAAAAAGGAACTTAAATTGAACGAGGAAGCCTTAACACAGACAGTTTTTCAGTACAATGGACAGCTGAACTTGCTAAAGACAGAATCTGCAGTGCTAACTTCGAAACTTGAGCAGACAAAAGAAAGCAAAGACAGACTAGAGACAGAAATGGAATCATTTCGTTCCCGCCTGAACACTGCTGTTCAAGAACTTGAACGTCATCAGTCATCAAAAAGTGATGTCGAACGAACATTTCAGAGAGAACGTGATGAATGGCTTCGCTTGCAAGACAAGCTCCATCATGACCTCTCTGATGTGCGAGAAAGCAACAAGAGCTTGTCTCAGCAGCTGAGTAAAGCTGAAAGCAAAGCTAATAGTCTAGAAAATGATCTTCACCAGTTGAAACAAATGCTCAGAGAAAAAACATTGCTTTTAGAAATGACACAAAAAGAACTAAGTCAAGCCCAGTGTCAGGCAAAGGAATATGATCATGCTCGACAGCTTGAGAAAGCACAAGTAAGCAAATTTATAATAAAGCAGGAATCGATGCAGGAGCGATTGGCCCAGCTGCAGAGTGAGAACCTTTTACTCCGTCAGCAACTGGAAGATATGCAGAACAAGGGGATCATCAAAGAAAAAGTAGTGAATGATGTGCAGGACCGGTTTAATGATATTTTCAACAAACTCAGATCTGATACTGAAAAACAAGTTCAATTAGTGGAAGAGAGAAACAAGGAACTAAATGCCAAGTGTACTGATTTAAGAGAACAAGTCTTTAAATATGAGACTGACAAAGTAGAAAGAGAGGTACAGTATACACTTAGAACAATTTAAGGTTTGTCAGTTCTTGAAATTATTTTGTTTCTAAAATGTACTAGGTAGAAGTTATACGCATGGGGCCAAATAATGCTCATTTATTCTAATTTATTGTGTTTCTCTTGGAATTGTGGAATGTTTTGGCAAATGGGATGTTACTGCTCAAAAAAATATTGCTTTTCCATAACTTGCTGTCAAAATTGAAGAGTATTAGTAGCGTCCAGGTGTTAATTTATGTATGTGTTTTGGGGGTTCTAAAAGGCCTGCCTGTTCCTCAAGAAGTTCATTTCAGACACC